GGGGTTTTTTTTTCAAATTTGACTGCACAAGTGGAAATATACTTTACCTTTCAAAAAACTGCCTTATTGAGAACATACAGTATGGGTGTACTTATTTAAACAATGCAAATTGTGATCATTACCTACAAATAATCCGTTCTAAAAAACATATTGCATGTAGTATTATAATTTCCATGTATCACTTGCACATTAATTGATTTAGTTGTATTTATTTTTCAATTCACAAAGGCCTTGTTCATACGAGCTTCAGCTTGTATGAAAGTGGTGTGTACAGCAAGCTTTTTTGAAGTTTTCAGCGAGCCTTTGCAAAGCATTTCTGAAGCTTTCAGCAAGTTTTTAGCAGCTTTGTTGAAGCCTTTAAAAAAATTAAACAAGCTTCAAGTAGTGCTAAGGTCCCATTCACACCTAAGATTAAGCATAGCTGATGAGGGTGTGCACCAATACAGTAAACTCCCCGTTATCTGATATCCACGTGGACTAGTAGATTCTGGATAAATGTAGTCTCTGGTTGTTTGAGAGTTACTATTAAAAATAGGTCTAACTAATGCCATACCCTATACCATAACATAAACTCTGTATTGACTTCATATTAATATTGAAATGCAGTAATCAAACGCAAATTAAGACAAGTAGACACACTTAAAACAAATTAATACAAATAGGCACACAATCATTTCCAGGATAATACATGGCGCAGATCAGCAAAACAGTGAGTACACAAGGGATTTATTTTTCTGTTTAGATGAGAGTTCTGGTTAGTTGAATTCCGGATAACAGAGAGTTTACTGTATTTCATTTCCATCATGCATGGGAAAGGGATGGATAAAGGATATGTTTTAGGATGAATATGACAGGAAGTGTTTACTGAGTTAATAAAAGTAAATAAAGTGAAAGGAGGTGTTACTGCTAATAAACATTTTGGTAGAGTTGAAGTTAATGGGATATTGTCTGAAGGAGATGTTATTTCAGGTAGCATGAGAGGGTACAAAAATACAAATTCTGTATTATCCATATGATGTTTAATAAGGATGGGCTGCCTGTTCGAGTCGACCATAGGTTCGACTCAAACATTGCATGTTCTAGCGTTCGCCGAACGCCATAAGTATGTAAGTGTATGAAATCATTGACAGCAGATCGAGTGTCTAGAACACAATATAGTAGGGAAGTAAGACCAGGAGCTTACAGATTTGAGAATCATCTACATAATAGTGATATCAAAATAGAAACAAGCTAATTAGCTGGGTATAGATAGAGAATAGAAGGTATCCAATAGTACAACCTTTTAGTACAGTAACAGAAAGAGAGTGAACAGAGAGGGAAGCGTGAGAATCAGTTGAAGGTGTATCCAGAAAGTAAGGGAAGATCCAAGAAAGTGTAAAACCTTTGTTTCCTAAGGAGAAGAGAGTCTGGAGTAGCACAGAATAGCCAGCCATATCACAGTCTGAGGAGAGTTAATGAAGAATCAGAGAGAGACCAGAATAGTTGACTAGCCTTTGCGGTTAGAAGGCCTTTAGCAACCTTGGTAAAGACAATTTCAGAGGTGCAAAAAATATATATAATTTTTTTATCATAATGCTACTACCCACCTTTTTCCAGTTCTCAAAAGTTCAAAACCTTCATTTATTTTATTAAAAGGCAAAGTATGAGTCACCAAACCATCCAAGTCGAATTTTCCTGCAATGTAGTCAGAAACCAATTTGGGAACAGAGTCCATACTTTTAAAACCTGAAAAATAAGTCAGAAAGCAAGTGACAAAATATCCACAAGCAGAAACAGTCAAAAGTGTTGCATATCAGCTATATACAGGATAGACATGTAAATGTCGTTTTGTTCCAAATGCGAATTTGGATGAAATTTAATGAATTCGGACATTTGGATGCATCCAAATGTCCGAATTCCAATGAGGCCAGATGCAAACATATCCAAATGTTCTTTAACGAAATTTTGGATCATCTGAATTTCGTTCAAAATGAAATTAAATCGGACATGTGACTGTTTTCTGGCCAATCAGAAAACCCCATCCGAAACTAAAACGAAATTCCAAAACATCTGGATAAGAATAACGAAATGGAACGGTGTTTGAATCCGAAACACCTAAAAAAAAGAAAAGCCAAAACGAAAATGTTTTTTTGTCGGCTTACGAACTAAAACAGGTATTGTTTATAAATGACAGCAGAAAAGGACAAGTCTTAAAGGGCAATGTGCCTTGCGATCCCGTGCGGGCGATCGCATTGCGGCTGCAGGGCGTGGCTACAGTGCCATTCACTTCAATGGTCCACCATGACCCCTCCAGCCCGGCAAAAAAGCGAGCCGGCTGCAATGCGATGCAGTGCGTTCTGGCCAGAATCGGACCGGAATGCACTGCCTATGGTGTAAACTAACCCTAATACCCCCCTTTTATAATGACAGGGCTGGCTTATTCAAAGTCCCCTTAATTGCCTTTCTAAATCTGCTAGCCACAGTTCAAAGATCATGTAATGCATTAGCGTTAAAAAAAAAAGCTGGCCAGGCAAATTTGGACAAAAATTTGCCAGGACCATTGTATTCACTGAGAACCAACTGTAACAGTGAATTTTAACCTCAACCCTACACACGACCAGGATACCACAGGTATATACTAACAAAACAAATATCCAGGAAAGATTTGCAGAATTATGCAAACAAGAAGTATACCAGGTCTTTTTTTCGTGCCATAGCACAGAAGGGAATGCATTAGAGCTAGTTCACACCTGCCCCAGTGCGTTCCGGCACAATTCGTTGCTGGAACACACTGGATCGCATCCCGGGCTGGCTCACTGCGCCTGGGGCAGGAGAGGGCGTGTCAGTGCATTGAAGTCAATGGCACCGCAGCCATGCCCCCTCCCACCCTAGAACGCAGTGAGCCAGCCGGGATGTGATCCAGTGCGTTCCAGCTAGGAATCGTGCCGGAAAGCTCTGGGGCTGGTGTGAACTAACCCTGAAGAACTTGGTTATTTTTTAAACACATCGCAAATATGTATCCAGATGTCGCTACTTTTCGTTTCCAGGTTAGTGACACCCACACAACAATATACAGTGGTTACAGAGTTATGTTGCTGCCACCTATTAGTTCTGTATGTAATTTTTATGAATATTTCAGGCTGCATCAATTATTTATGGATCAGTTATCAGTATGGTAGCCGGGCAACCAGCATTTTAAGAAGCTGGTTGTCTCACCATCTTGTCTTGAATTGCATTGTGATTGTAATGTCTTCCTTATATTGTAAAGTGCTGTGCAAACTGTTGGCGCTATAAAAATACTATGAAATAATAATAATAATAATAATAATTTAACCACCTTTTGCTTTTATCCTGCTGAAGATAGTAAAAATTTTTGTTTTCCTCTCACTTTCTGCTGGAAGGGGTTTTAACTTTTCGTGGCATAAATTAGTTTATCCTATAAATTCTCTTTAAACATAGCATCATATTCATTAATCACAATATCAAAGTATCACAGTACTTAATGTAGCAGAGAAGCAAATAGAACATTTTATTAGCTGTTAATAGTAAAATGTACCTCCGTATAAAGAGCCTTTCCATGTGCGTCCTGTCAGGAGCAGCAAAGGATGAAATGCGATCTTTGCATCATGACCAGCTAACCCTATTACAACACTGGTCCCATATCCTTGGTGAGTACACTCCAATGCTGCTTTCTGATTCAATGGGGAAAATGCAATCAGAAGAAATATTTGCAATTTTTAAAAAGAAATGTTAAACAGTCATAATCTGCCTTTAAAGGAGAGCTGTCATGAGAGAAACATGGAGAAATACTGACTGTCTGACCGTCATGCTGATCCTCTTGCTTTAATATTTCATTGTCCCAAAACAATCAGATAAGGACTTGTGTTGAAGCCAGCGGGGTCAGCATAACAGCCAGGCCACTCAGATTTACAGAAGGTCAGTAGTAGCAGTCCCCACATTCTTAGTTTAATTTTAAGAGAATAAGTGTTACAGTGAAATAAAAAAATATTGAAAACTAAAGCTAGTCATTAGGGATGAGCTGAGTGTTCAATTCGGATATGAGTTCGAATCGAACATCGGCAGTTCGAGCGCTCGCTGAACGCCGAACTTTATGGTTTGTGGTCGCGGTTTGTTCGACCGTGGACATTCCATAATGCAAAATGCCCACTGAAGCTCTGATTTGTTTAAGTCTTGCACCTGACCACAGGTCAGGTGCAAGACTTTGCCCAATCAGGTCTCAGCAGAGGAGGGGCCTGAAGGAGAAAGTTCTCTATCAGGTCCCCCCATGCTGATTGACAGCAGGCAGTGGGCGGGTGCAATAGCCAGCTGGCTATTGCATTTCACAATATCCAATAGCAGTGGATGCAATGAAGAGGAGGCAGGGGGGCCGGGCAGAGGAGCCGTGGCTGGACCGGATCGGAGAAGAAGCCGACGGACCAGGGGACCGGAGGCAGGGACAGCAGCGGAGGTACGGGGAGGGCAGCGGTCTGTGTACCCGCTGTCTCCGCCACACAGGCGCGGAAAGCAGCAAGGATTTGAAGGGACACAGGGCGCTGCAGCCACAGTTCTCCAGTTGCCGGTACATTTAGGAGAACTGTGGACCAGGTTCGTAAGTACGGATTGTCCGTAACCGGGGACTGCCTGTATAAGCCCTCTTAAAGGGGACATGCATTTTCGAACGTTCGACCCCCATTCACTTGCATTGAGTTTGAGTTTGTGTTCGAATGCGAACCGAACACAGGGGTGTTCGGCTCATCACTACTAGTCATTTATGTTAAAGGCAGATTTTTTTTATCCCATTCAAGTTCTGTGATAGCCCATATGCTGCAAAATGTCTTAATGTTTCAGAATGTCACCTATGATAGCGCTTCATTAGGCCCAATTCACAAATGTAAAACACCATGATAAGGATCCTTATTTTTTTTTAAATGAGAGTTATTTTCAACTGAGCCAAGTGAGATTTAAAATCTATAGTCAAATCAATGTGAAGATCCTTATTAGAGATGAGCCAAGCGTACCTAGGTTCAGTTCAAGGGAGGGTCACCAAACTGCTCCTAAATTCTGAAAGGTAATCCGAACACCATTGAAGTCAATGAGAGCTCAATCTTTAGTTCTGGCCATTATCAAGGCTAATAGGCAAGGGATTAGAAAACAAAGAGCATATGGATCTCAGCACTGCCAAAGGGACATATATCAATGAAAAATAAATATAGTCTGGTGGGAATCAGCTCTTTTAAGGATGTTAACAAAGAACCGTAAAAATGCACAATTCCTTTACATAACATGTTTCGGGGATTTCATAAGCCTTCCTTTGAAGTGGTGCATCTGTAGGATGTATATAGTGAACTACAGTGAATAGTACATTTATAACCAGATATTTCTAAACGGACCCAGATCCAATTCATGAAATTTATTTTTAAAAAAAAACTGACATGGGGTTTCCCCCCAAAGTCCATCCCAGGCCCTTGAGGTCTGGAATTGATTTTCAGGTGACCCTACAGAAAAACAATAAAAAAAAACTATACCCTTATCTGTGGATGTGGGGTCTGCGGCTGGGTGGGCTTATCAGAATCTGGAAGTCCCCTTTAAAATAAGATATTCCCAGATATCTAGGCCCCCACTAATTAAATGAGTACCCCTAGATATATACACTGAGTAGCCAGATTATTATGACCACCCCATCAGTACTTCGTTGGGCCACCTTTTGCCTTCAATACTGCGGCGATTCTTCTTGGCATTGACTCCACAAGATGTAGAAAGGTGATGCAAGGAATCTGACACCATGCCTGATGAATAGCACTGTCCAGTTCTGTGAGATTTGATGGTTGTGGAACCAGCTGCCTGATGGCTCTTTCAACTTCGTCCCACAAATGTTCAATTGGAATGAGATCTGGTGATTGTGGGGGCCACCTAAGAAAGGTAAAGTCTCCCTCATGTTCTTGAAACCACTACTGCACAATACGAGCACCGTGGCATGGCGCATTGTCTTGTTGGAAGAAGCCATCTCTGGGATACGCCATCAACATGATAGGATTAACTTGATCAGCAACGATAAAGAAAAAAATCACTTCTACTATTCTTCCCTATGCTTCCCTATTTATATTGGTCTGGCCCTCTAGCAACTTCAGCGCAAAATTATAGCTAATTTGCCTACAAACGTCAGGTGGTCATAACAATCTCGCCACTCAGTATTGGGACGCTGGCCTTTACGCACACATGAACTTTAATGGCATCCCAGTCTTAGTCCGAAGGGTCCAATATTGAGTTGGCCCACCCTGTGCAGCTATAACAGCTTCAACTCTTCTGGGAAGGATGTCCACAAGGTCTAGGAGTGTGTCTATGGGAATGTTTGAACATTCTTCCAGAAGAACATTTGTGAGGTCAGGTACTGAAGTTGGACAAGAAGGCCAGGTCAGGACTCTGTACAGGACAGTCAAGTTCCTCTACCCCAAACTCGCTCATTCATGTCTTTATGGACCTTGCTTTGTGCACTGGTGCGCAGTCACGTTGGAACATGAAGGGGCCATCCCCAAACTGTTCCCACAAAGTTGGGAGCATGAAATTGTCCAAAATGTCTTGGTATACTGATGCCTTAGGAGTTCCCTTCACAGGAACTAAGGGGCCAAGCCCAACGCCTGAAAAACAACCACTCACCGTAAGCCCCCCTCCACCAAACCTTACACTTGGCACAATGCAGTCAGGCAAGTACTGTTCTCCTGGCAACTGCCAAACTCAGACACGTCCATCGGATTGCCAGACAGAGAAGTGTGATTCTTCACTCCAGAGAACATGTCTCCACTTATCTAGAGTCCAGTGGCGGTGTGTTTTACACCACTGCATCCGACGCTTTGCATTGCACTTTGTGATGTAAGGCTTGGATGCAGCTGCTCGGCCATGGAAACCCATTCCATGAAGCTCTCTACACACTGTTATTGTGCCAATCTGAAGGCCTCACAAAGTTTGGAGGTCTGTAGCTATTGACTTGGCAGACAGTTGGCGACTTCTGCGCAATGTGTGCTTTAGCATGTACTGACCCCGCTCTGTCATTTTATGTGGCCTACCACTTCCTGGAAAGTGGAAAAAAAAATAGGAAAAAAATTAAAGTTTCCACAAACATTTTTTTTAAGTTACACATAAAAAAGAATGTAAAAAAACACTTTTTTTTAAAAGTCCCCACCCCTACATACACGCATGTAAACATGCGTCAGGTGCACATACCTGCGAAAACGACTATTGCATTACGCCGCACATGTTACATATCGCCACAAACTGATGAGCTGTAAAAGCTTTTAAAGCGTCGCCTATGGTCAATTTTGGGTATGCTAGTTTTTTGGCAATTTCGCAGGTGCGCACAATTTTTAAGCTTGACATGTTTGGTGTCTATTTACCCGACGTGACCCCGTCTTTTATATTTTACCAAAAAAGTGGGCAATATTAGTTGTTTTATAACATAATGTAAAAAAAAATTTTTTTTTTCAACATTTTCAGTAATTTTTCCTGAATATAGTAAAAAATTAAAACCCCCAGTGGTGATTAAATACCACCAAAAGAAATCTCTATCTGTCCCCAAAAAATTGTATAAAATTAATTTCAGTACAGTGTTGCATGACAGAATAAATGTCAGTCAAAGTACCGCAGCGCTGAAAACTGAAAAATGGCCTGGCCAGGAAGGGGGTGTAAACACCTGGTTTTCAAGCGGTTAATAACGTGCTGGATTAGTGTGATCCTAGTTCATTTTATTACTTTATTGATGTGCTGTATGTGTATAGGCTAATATAGTTGGATCTGTATGTGCGTTGTAATTAATCGATTCATCGATTTAAAACATTTCGATTAATCGAACATGAAAATTTTAATCAGTAACAGCCCTAGTATATATATATATAT